GAGAATCACAGAAAAGCCAGGTAACCTATCTAAGTATAATCAGCCAGGAAGCCGGAGAGATGAGACTTGAACCCAGGCTGTCAGCTTCAGAACTCATGCTCAGCCCCCAGGCTAAACTGTGCTGTGGGGAAAATAACGCTCAATTAAATGTCTAAATACACAACGAGGCTTGACATACAGATGTGCTCCATGAACAATGGCTACTATTGACAATAAGAAAGAAACAACCTATTAGAGAAAAAGTTAACCTGAAACTGAACATGACGCCTTTTGCTCATTCATTAAGATCGGCCACGCCCCCTTCCAGGAACTGGGTGCCCCCGGGAGCTCAGCCATACCCTAAGAAAAGGAGATTTTGTAGCTGGGCCTGAAGGATAAACTGAGCGGATTGGGCCAGGTGACCTGCGAGGGAGGGTGCACCAGGCAGTGGGAGCAATAGTGGCAAAAGTCTAGAGGTGCAAAAATCGCAAGCTGAGCTAGGCAGAGCTCGCGATTCAGATGCGCTTCAGCCTTCTTCTTCTTAAAACTGGACCTCAGGCGCCACCTGGTGGCGACCCCAGATACTAACAGGGCAGAAACAGTCAACTGGGGTAAAAGTTGCCCACGCCCCTCTCTCCCAGACTGTTTGTTTCTTTTGTCTCTCGCCACAAATGGATTTGCTGTAAAACGGACTTTTACAGCTGTTAACGTCCATTTAAAAATTTAAAAAGTCAATTGACTTTGACAACTGTAAAAGTTCATTTTACAGCAAGTCCATCTGGGGGAAAGAGACAAGGTGCTGGGATGTGGATGAGATGGGAGTGATAAAGACATGGTGAGGTCAGTGTCAAAACCAGCCCCTTTCCGGCTGGGCGCAGTACCTCAAGCCTGTAATCCTAGTGCTTTGGGAGGTCGAGATGGGTGGATCATTTGAGGTCAGGAGTTTGAGACCAACCTGGCCAACATGGCGAAACCCTGTCTCTACTAAAAGTACAAAAATTAGCCCATGTGTTGGTGAGCGCCTATAGTCCCAGCCATTCGGGAGACTGAGGCATGAGAATCGCTTGAACCCAGAAGGCAGAGGTTGCAGTAAGTGGAGATCGTGCCACTGCACTCCAGCCTAGGCAACAGAGTGAGACCCTGTCTCAAAAACAAAAACAAAACAAGCTCCTTCCCATAGCTTCAGGGGTCCCCAGGAGGGTTTTAAACAGAGGACTGACATGGTCAGACTTCTATTACAGAAAGAACGCTCTGAGCATTGAGAAATAACAACAACTAAGGTAAAATTTTAATTTAAAAGTACATTGATTTTCCAGTTATCAAAGCAATGCATACTCATTGTAGAAAATGTGGAAATTATAGAAAAGAATAAGGAAGAAAATAAGTCACCCTTAATTCCATCACCCAGAATAACCACTGTTAATATTTTGGCATATTTGTCTCCAGTGTTTTTCTCTGCATATAATTTTCACAGAGCTGAGGATTAAACTCGCTGATGTTTAAATGTATGTTGAGTATTTTTGTGGACAAAGGCTTGGTGTGGAAATGAGTGTGGGTGTCGGGACCTGGTGCTGGTGTCAGACGACTGTGAGTTTGAATCCTGTCTTTGCCTTTACTAGCTGTGACTTGGGCAAGTGCCTTCTCTTCTCAGAGTAGTAGCAATTTCCTTCACCATCTGTAAAATGTGATTAACAATGGGACCCATCCCAGAGCTGTTTTACAGATTAAATGACATGATGTATGCAAAATGCTTAGGACAGTGCCTGTCGCAGAGAGGTTACTCACCAGTAACAGATTACTACCTAAAGCTTTGTCTTTCCGACTCTTATCAGCAATGTCTAGAAATGAGACTGATTTCAGGGTTCAAGGATATGAAAAGCCACAAGGTTGTTACGGTTTGGCAAAACTGAGTGGAAATTTTTAAGCAAGATCGCATGTCTCCAGCACCACAGCTGTTCTCATTTGTCTCTATATTCTTTCAGGCCCTGTTTACGCAGAACATTTTTTAAGCATTGTAATTGCAGTGCTTGCACCAGTTCCCTTAATGTTACATCATCAACATTTTCCTAAGCGGTTGAAGCTGTCATTGACAGCATTTGCTGTAATTCACTTAACCATTTTTTAATTGTTGAATATCTGGGCAGTCTAATTTTTCATTCATTCATTCATTCATTCATTCATTCATTCATTCATTCATTCAAGAAACAGTTCCAGAATGCCTACTCTCTGCCAGGCACTGAACTAGGCGCTGGGATATTGTGGTCAACAAGAACAATGCACCCTTTATATTCTGGTACCCAGACCCTGGCTGGCAAGACAGGCTATAACAACTAAACAAACAAGTAACACTCCAACTGTAAACTATACTGAGTGCTGGGAAGGAAAAGGAGAGAACTCCCAGAGAACTTTATTTTCACATTTGTGTATTTTTTGGAAGTAATCCTAGTCCTGAAATCCAACCTGCTTTTACTTCTTAGCAGACACAGCTGAAGCTTTTCTTGGAGGAGTCTCGTGTGGGTTTGGATTTTCCACTAACACGTTAGAATTTCCCAAGAAGTCAAGGATGCCATGGTATTCAAAGACCTGACAGTCGGGCTCAAGTGGGCCTTGTTTCCTTTCTTTTCTCCCTTCCTCCAAGGCTTGTGTTTCAACCGGTCCAGTCTGCTTCCTGCCCCCTTGAAGAAGTAGATGATTATCCCCTTCTTAAATCTTGCTTCACCTTTTCCTCACCTTCCCTCTCAGTACAGGGCCTCCATGAGCCCTGGGAGTCTTTAAGTCAATGGGCAAAAGCACCCCCATCCCATGGACAAAGCCTTGATGGGTGAGGCTTTGCACCCATTGGATTTCAATGACCACAAGGTCCCTTGCATGACTGCAGCAGCCTTATCCATAGTTCTGCAATGACTACCCCGCCTAACTTTCTATTGACCTGATTCCTATTCCACCTCGAATACTCAGTTTATAGTCTCTCTCTTATAGGAAGCCTGGTCTGGCTTTCTAATTCACAGTAAATTATCTATTTCTTGAGCTACTGGATGAATTTTATTTTTTACTCTTTGCCTCATTGGCACTTAATCATATATTCCCTCATGATACTTCCTATTTTCCTCTCTTGCATAATTATTTCATCTGAATAAGTCTGACTTAGATAGAGAGATCAGAGGTATCTGTGCAGATGTATCATTTATACTGAATGCTGAAGGAGCAGTAGCCAGAGATCTAAGGAAAGGCAGCGGGAAGGGCATGTGCAAAGGCCCTGAAGCAGAAGAGGTCTCAGGATGTGAAGCCAAAATGAATATTTCTATATGGGATTGTCCTTACAGATTTGACATATGAGGCTGAAAATGACTCATTCATTAATACATCCATACTACTTTGTTCATACTACCATGAACAAAGCAAGGGCCACTGTGTTCAAGACCCAGGAGATGGGGATACAGAGATGAATCAGACAAGATTTGTTCTTGCCCAGACTAATGGTGGAGGCTGAGATGATTTCTAGATAGTGTGACAGACAGACCAGGGTTGAGAGTTGTGGATAATTATGGGTGTGAATAGAAGAGCACAAAGAGTAACTATTTCTGCCTGGAGCACTGGGAAAAGTTTGTCTAAGAAGAGACAGGAAGAAGGGAAGTCCAGACAGAAAGAACAGTGTTTACAAAGGCATAGAGGCAGGGAGAGGGGGGATGATTTCAGAAATTGTAATCAGGAAGGGCCTCTTAGGACAATCAATGTTCTTGGACTTTCTCTGTAGATGGTCACAAACCAGGGGAGGTTTCTAAGCAGGAGAGTGGCAGGTCTGGGGTGGAGAATGGGTGGGTGTGCGGCAGAGACTGGAGGCAGGCTAACAGTAGAAGCCAGAATTGGGGCAGTGATGATAGAGATAGATAAGAAAGAGGAGCTTTCTCTCTCTCTCTCTCTTTCTCTCTCTCTCTTGAGTCTTGCTCTGTTGCCTAAGCATGCAGTGGCGTGATCTCTGTTCACTGCAGCCTCTGCCTCCTGGGTTCATGAGTTTTGTGCCTCAGCCTCCTGAGTAGCTGGGATTACAGGCACACACCATCCTGCCCAGCTAATTTTTTTTTTTTTTTTTTTGATACGGAGTCTAGCTATGTCTCCCAGGCTGGAGTGCAGTGGTGCGATCTCGGCTCACTGCAGCTCCGCCTCCCAGGTTCACGCCATTCTCCTGCCTCAGCCTCCCCAGTAGCTGGGCCTACAGGTGCCCGCCACCACGCCCGGCTAATTTTTTGTATTTTTTAGTAGAGACGGGGTTTCACTGTGTTAGCCAGGATGATCTCAATCTCCTGACCTCGTGATCCGCCTGCCTCGGTCTCCCAAAGTGCTGGGATTGCAGGCGTGAGCCACCGCGCCTGGCCTTCTTTGTATTTTCAGTAGAGATGGGGTTTCACCATGTTAGCCAGGCTGGTCTGAAACTCCTGGCCTCAAGTGATTCTCCTGTCTCGGCCTCCCAAAGTGCTGGAATTACAGGCGTGGGACAACGCACTTGGCCCAGAAAGCCAGATCTCAATATAAAACCTCTAATACTTGGCGATAGACTGGCTTTAGCAGGCCAGGGAGAGGGATAAGAGCAAATTTCAAGCATGGATGACTGAATGAAGGTGGTGCCACTTGCTGAGATCAGGGACACCAGGAGGAGGGACAGGATCTGGGGGGTAGGTTCGTGGAGAGAGATGGGGGGACAGTGAGGCCTTCTTACTAGTACCACGGACAGCTCCAAGTATTTCCAGAGGACTTGAAACAGACTCCATGAGTGGTTCTTGCCTCCGCTGCCTTAGAATCAGCGGAGGAGCTAACTTAACATGCAGATTCCCAGGTCTACCCAGATGTGCTGCATCAAAGTCTCTGGGGGTGGGGTCCAGGAGCCTGCATTTTAAATAAACACCCCAGGTTGCTCCCATGCAAGTGCCCAGACGACCATACTTACAGAAACTCTGAAATAAAGTCATGAAGGGAACAGATGCGAGCGCCCTCTGCTGCTAAAAAGGAGGTTTGGACCTCTTAAGTTTATGACTAGGACATTTCAAGGCAGTTTATTCAGCAAGTGAAACCCCTGGACTAAAGCAAAGAAACAAGACACCTGGAGAGATGAGAGAGGAAGAGGGGCCACGTTCCTTGACAACTTCTGTGCTTCTTTCACCCTATAGTGCCGAGCGAGGCAAAGTTCCCCTGTGTGCAGTCCTGGCCGCTCTGGTCAGTCTGGAGCGCTGTTACACCTTCTCAACCCCACTTCCTAAAAAAACAAATGTGGCTCCCTCAGGCGGGAGGGGAGAGCTTTCTCCTTGGTTTAGCTTTAAAATGATGGCAACTCCCAAAAATGGAAAGCAGGAGCTCAAACAGGTATTTGTATATCAACTGGAACCGACATTCTTCACAATAGCCAAAAGGTGGAAACAACCTAAATGTCCATTGACAGATGAATGGATAAAAACAAGGTGGTGAATGCACACGATGAAATATTATTCAGTCTTAAAAATGAGTGAAATTCTGACTCATGCTACAACATGGAGGAACCTTGAGGACATTATGCTATGTGAAATAAGCCAGACAAATACTACATGATTCCACTTATATGAGGGGCCAGGAATAGTCAAATTCATAGTCAGAAAGTAGAATAGTGTTTCCCAGGGACTAGGGCAGAAGGGAATCCAGACTTATTGTTTCACAGACACAAAGTTTCAGTTTGGGAAGATAAAAGAGTTCCGGAGACCCATAGTGGTGCTGGTTGCACAACAATGTGAGTGTACAGAATGCCACTGAAATGTACACTAAAATGGCAAATTTTGTTATGTATATTTTACCACAATAAAAAAAGTGATAGAAGAAAAAGCAATCAGGCTGAACTTGATGGCTCACGCTTGTAATCTCAGCACTTTGGGAGGTTGAGGCAGGTGGATCATCTGAGGTCAGGAGTTCGAGACCAGCCTGGCTAAGATGGTGAAACCCCGTCTCAACTAAAAATACAAAAATTAGCTGGGCGTGGTGGCTGGCTCCTGCAATCCCAGCTACTCAGGAGGCTGAGGCCGGAGAATCGCTTGAACTCGGGAGGCAGAGGCTGCAGTGAGCAGAGATCGCACCATTGCATCCCAGCCTGGGCGACGAGAGCGAAACTCTGTAACAACAACAACAACAACAACAAAACAAAAACAAACAAAAACAACAAAAAAAAAAAAAAAAAAAGGAAAGAAAGAAAGAAAAGAGAAAGCAGTCAGGTTGGACGTGGTGGTTCCACTTGTAATCCTAGCACTTTGGGAAGCCGAGGCTGACCCATCACCCGAGGTCAGGAGTTTGAGAACAGCCTGGGCAACATGGCGAAACTACGTTTCTGCGAGAAACACAGAACCTAGTCTGGCAAACCTAGTCTGGCATGGTGGTGCGTTCGTGTAGTCCCAGCTACTCGGGAGGTTGGGGTGGGAGGATCGCTTGAGCTCTGGAAGTTAAGGCTGCTGCAGTGAGCCGAAATCGCGCCACTGCACTCCAGCCTGGGCGACAGAGGGAGACCCTGTCTAAAAAAAATAAATAAATAAAAGAAAGAAAAGAAAACGAAGAAATCGTTAATATCCTCAACTCGAGTGGGAATCTGTAGGGGGCTTACCCATGCCCATGGCTTCCTCATCCCATCGGGAGCTCCCTGAGAACGGGGAAAAGTGCCTCCCCTCTTATCTGCGGGCGCTCAAAGGACCAGCAGAGGGTTTCTTCAGTGGAACACTCTCTGCTCCCCTAGGGCCTGGGCTGGTCACATCCATCGCACTGAAGAGGTTCCCATCCATCGCACTGAGAAGGGTCCCATTGGGGAGCTCCTTCTCCGTCCTATCGAGAGTTATACCAGCGATTGGCGGGGACTGAGCCTCCTGCTTGAGGTAGCTGTTTTTACTCCAAGTCCCCAGGCTCAGGAGCCCTATGCGGACTCAATTTGCTCTCCCGCTTCTCCTCGCCACTCCGAGTTCTGCGGCCCAGAAGTCCAGCGCATCCGCGGGGTGGGCGGGTCCTGGCGGCTGTTTGCCCTCTTCCAACATGGCCGCCGCTGCCTCTGTGACTGGCAGGGTCACGTGGGCAGCCTCGCCTATGAGGTCGCCGGGGCTCTGCCGGCGATTGTCCCTTCCCGGACCCCGTCTCGAGGCGGTGACTGCCGCTGTCAACCCGAGCCTGAGCGATCATGGCAACGGGCTCGGGCGGGGAGAGCGTGGCAGCGGCGGCAGCGGCGGCAGTTTGGTGGCGGGCTGGGGCGGCGGAGCGGCGGCGGCGGCGGCGGCGGCACTGGCACTGGTGCCAGCCCTGAGCGCCATGCGGCGGGGCAGCTCCGAGAGCGAGCTGGCGGCCCGGTGGGAGGCGGAGGCGGTGGCTGCGGCCAAAGCGGCGGCCAAAGCTGAGGCCGAGGCCACAGCGCAGACGGTGGCGGAACAGGTCCGCGTGGACGCGGGCGCGGCCGGGGAACCGGAGCGCAAGGCAGGGGAGGAGCAGCCCAAGGCCCCGGCCCCGGCCCCGGCCCCGGCGCAGCCCAGCGCGGCCGAGGAGGGGGACACCCAGGTGCTTCAGCGGCCGCCGCCCACGCTGCCCCCGTCCAAGCCGAAGCCGGTGCAGGGCCTCTGCCCTCACGGGAAGCCCCGGGGCAAGGGCCGAAGCTGCAAGCGGAGCTCAGGCCACGGTTCCGGCGAGAACGGCTCCCAGCGGCCTGTCACCGTGGACAGCTCCAAGGCCAGGACCTCCTTGGATGCCCTGAAGATCAGCATCCGCCAACTCAAGTGGAAGGAGGTGAGGCCCGGCCCGGCCGCGTAGGCACAGTGGGGTGGACAGGACAACCTCAGAGGTCTCGGCACGGCCCAGGTCAGGTCGGCGGGCGAGGGCTGAGCTCCTGCGGTGCACCACGCTCGGGCCTGCTTGTCAGCCGCAAACCGCTCATCCTTCAAGGCCTACCCCCCACTCAAAATCACTTCCTCCAAGAGGGCTCCCCCAGACCCCTCCAGGTCAAGTTAGCCACTCACTCCTCTGGCTCCCCTGCAGCTCTTTATATGTCTCAGCCATCAGCATTTGCCTCTGCTTGTAGATCTGTGTATGTCTGTCTCCTCCACCAGCTTGTAAGCCCCTGGGGCCTCGGACCCGCTCTCTCACTTCTTCATTGAAGTTATATTTGTTTAGCACTTGCTGTGTGACTCTTGGGCAGAAGAACAGTTTTTATTTTGGAGGCAGACAGGCCTAGGGTCTCACTACACTCTGCTACTTAGCTGTGTGACCTTGAGTAAGTTGCTTCACCTCTTTAGCCTATTACCTTCTCTGTAAAGTGAGGCCAATTTTACTTATCTCATCATCTTGTTAGCATTAGAAGACTCACTGCTTAAGTGTTTTATAGCACAAGTCTGCAATAAATGGTAACTTATGTTACCACTCTCTCCTTTCTCACTTCTTCCACCATCATCACCACCAGCAGCACTACCACTGTCATCATCGTCAGTGTAGGCACCGTATTTTATATTCCAGGCTTGGCATACAGAAGATGTCAGTAAGTGGTGAATCAAAGGGTGAATGAAGACATGAGTTATCATCCCCGAGCCCATTTTAGACTGGCAGGGGATGGGATGAAGCACCAGTGCCTATAGAGGTGTCTATTGCAGTTGGCTGAGTGGATAAAGCCATTTGACTTTATTTGCAGCATATAGGGTATTTAATGTGCTTTCAGGAGTGTCAGGAGTTTGGTTAAGGATAGCTGAGTGTGGACACAGCCAGTGGTGACAGGGATCTGCTGCAGGTAACAGAGGACTCCGGTACTTAGTCCTGTGCCTTGGCTATGGTAATGGTTTGGTATGGTAATGGTTTCATTAAGTTGGAACATACAGAGAGATGGCCACAGAAAGGATTGATGTAGTCAGAGGGTTGATGTCCCAGTAGGAAATAGTGCATTTGGTTTGGAGGGAAGTCAAGGATCAGGCAGAACCAACTTCCATGTGGACAGGGGTTAGCCACTGGGGAAGTCTGACGCCAAGTGTCTGGGCCCCCAGCCTTGGGGCTTGGGATTCAGAGGGGAAATTTCATGCTGGGGAAACGGGAAAAACAAGGGCAGGCTCTCAGTTCTAAAGTATCTTGGTTTCTAGGCAGGGTCCCAGGTCCAGGCCAGAGATATGAGGGCTAGAAAAGGTACAACTGGACAACTTGTCAGTGCCGTGGTCTTAATGAAGGGAGAATCCAGCTAATAAAACCAGGCTATGGAGTCAGGCTAGGCAGATTGGCCCAAGTGGGGCCTCCACTTAGCTTATCCCTGTGGGAGAGAGAGACATGAAGCAGGCCAGATCTTGTTTGCTAGGAGAGATGGGGCCAGATGGACTCATACATCCCAGCCCAGGTTCATTCACTCATTCTGTAAATGTCCACTGTGGAGGTGCCAAGTTCTTTGCTGGGCCCTGGGAATCAAACATATTTAAGATGTGACCCTTGTGCCCAAGGACTTTATAGTTCAATAGGGAATAAAACACAAGTAAAGGAATAATTGCGGTCATTACAGGGCCATTGCTGCTGCATCCTGAAATGCTCCTTTTTCATTTATTTGCATAGCTTACTCTTGTCAGTTCTTTAGATGATACCTTTCCCATCAGTCTCCAGCCCTTGGTAGTTTTTTTTTCCATAGTACTAAACTTTACCTGGCATTATATTATGTATTGCTGTTTATTGTCTGTTTCCCTCACTAGAATGTAAGCTCCATGAGGGCAGGGGCTTTGTTTTGTTTATTGCTGCACCCACAGGTGCTTGGCACATAGAAGTTGCTCAATAGATATTTGTTGAATGAATGAATACATTATGTGATGAGTGTTTCTGTGTGAAAGTAGAAATGCTGCAGGAGGTAGAGAGGGGCACCCAGGAAGGGCTTTCTGGAGGAGATGAACCTGAGCTGAGTCCTGAGTGCTGAAAATGAACTAGAGTTATTTAGGGGCCATAGACTTTAGATCTCTGGTTGCAGGAGTGGTATGGGCAAAGCAGAGGACCTTTCAGGACTTTCAGTATGGCTGGATCATAGCATGGGAGGTGGAATGGTGAGAGATGGGGCTACAGAAATGAGCAGGGATCAGATCATGTGCCATGCGATGAGATTTGGACCTGTTTGGGGGAGGAAGGCTATGTGAGCCATTAACGGAATTTTAACGTTCTTCCATTTATCAGGGCAAGTCAGTTAAACCCTTCAGGCCTCAGTTTGCTTATCTGTAAAGTAGAGGCGGGCAGAGCTAGTTCAGTGGTTTCCAGTCTCTCTACTTTGGTAGCCACATAATGGTAATGTTAATCTACGTGAGACTGTTGCACTGGTCATCCCCAGGGGGTAGGCTTTTTCCAGGGCACTACCTGTAACTGCTTCTTCCACCTCTAACCCTGCCTTTTTTTCCCGCTCAGAGAGCACATATAGGTGGCATATAGGTGGAGATGTTGATTCTAGTATATTTTAAAACGTAATTCACTGAGTGTGGTGGCTCATGCCTGTAATTCCAGCTACTTGGGAGGCTGAAGTGGGAGGATCACTTGAGTCCAGGAGCTCAAGGATGCAGTGAGCTATGATTGTGTCACTGGGTGACAGAGCAAGACCCTGTCTCTAAAAAGAAAACTGAAAATTAAAAAAGCAACAATTAGTCTACTATTAGGCTTGTGATTATTACTATCACCCTTCCTCATTAGTGCATGAAGTCCTGAGGGCAGGGGTGGTGGTATCTGACTTATGTCCCTAATGTACAGCACATTCTAGGTGCTCAATAAATATTCATCGAATGAATTATGGAATATTTGCAACAGAGCTTACATCACATCTTGACACCCTAGAGTGTGGAGGTTGAAAAGTGCCAGAGTAGCTAAACTTTAAAGTTACTTCCTGCTTTAAACTACGATTATAGTATTCTTAGTACCTCCTACAAAGTTGACTGCGTGAAAAGTAACATATATTTATATCCCTGGTACTAACAAAGTGCAAACACATGACCTTTCCTATGCCTGCCTTTCCCCATCTGTTATAAGGTGATATTGGATGAGATCATCTTGAACTCCCAGCGCTGACGTTCTAGGAGCAAGAACTCCTACTGGGGGCTGTGGTGCAAGGGTATGAGCAACAGTACCTCTTGCATACCATGCTGTGTTGCTGTGGGGTTGGAGAGTACTCAGGTGGCTGGCTTTGGTGGGAGTTGATGGGTAGCCCAGGTAAGAAATAAGAATACCAACCAGAGTGAAAGCTGTCTCCTTTTATGGGTACATAGTGGAGGGCTATATATCACTGTCCACTTCAGCAGTGTAGGACTCAGCCAGCATGTGAATTTGGAAGTTTGCTCAGCCGCAGGGCACACAATCTCCCTTCCTTTTTCACTTTTTTTTTTTTTTTTAAGACAGGGTGTCCTTCTGTCACCCAGGCTGGAGTGCAGTGGTGCGATCTTGGCTCACTGCAATCTCACTGCAACCTCCGCCTCCCAGGTTCAAGCAGTTCTCCTGCCTCAGCCTCCAGAGTAGCTGAGATTACAGGCACATGTCACCATTCCTGGCTGCTTTTTGTATTTTTAATAGAGATGGGGTTTCACCATGATGGCCAGACTGGTCTTGAACTCCTGACCTCAAGTGATCCACCTGCCTCGGCCTCTCAAAGTGCTGGGATTACAGGCATGAGCCACCACCCTGGCTCCTTTTTCACTTTTCTTTATTCCACATATATTTAACAACAACAACAACAACAACACGATAATAAATCTTTATCTAGTTCTTACTCTGTTCCAGGTGCATTTTATTTTATTTTTTTATTTTTTATTTTTTATTTGTTTGTTTTTTGAGACGGAGTCTTGCTCTGCCGCCCAGGCTGGGGTGCAGTGGCCGGATCTCAGCTCACTGCAAGCTCCGCCTCCCAGGTTTACACCATTCTCCTGCCTCAGCCTCCCGAGTAGCTGGGACTACAGGCGCCCGCCACCTCACCTGGCTACTTTTTTGTATTTTTTAGTAGAGACGGGGTTTCACCGTGTTAGCCAGGATGGTCTCGATCTCCTGACCTCGTGATCTGCCCGTCTCGGCCTCCCAAAGTGCTGGGATTACAGGCTTGAGCCACCGCGCCCGGCCCAGGTGCATTTTAAGTGCGCTACACATATACA